TTAATTAGGAATTAGCTAAATATGTTAATGCAGGTCAGATATTATATTAATGCTAGCCAGATATTATGGTAATGCCGACCAAATAATCTTATTTTGGGATCATACTAAAAATCCCGCACGTCCCATCTCTAGCTCTATGGCTTTGTTACACGGGAAATAGACCATTTTGTAGAGGTTTTATAACTCGCATAATGCACGTACATGCGTACATGAAGAGTGCAGGACGAGTAAAGCGAGTAAAGAGCAGAAAGAGACACATTCCCAACACAATTTTGAAAAAAAAATAGGTGATTTCATAGGAATTTTTTTTTTTTACGCGCATAGAAAGTACTATTAAAAGAGTGACGCGTAAAGTGAAACAGGTTTACCCTTAAATTTCAATAACCCTTTTCAATGCTAGGGTTAGGGTGAGCGCTAGTATTGTGTTTGTTTGATGTTAGGGTTAGTAAGAAAAGTAACAAGTTATATGTACTGTTCGCTTCATAAATTCGAGATAAATTACATAAGCGAATGATATTTATTAAATATGAATAAACAATAACTGACAATCAAATAAAATTGTATATTAAAGTTTAAAAAAAAAGGTAAGTCTAATAACTTATTAAAGTTTGCGTTACTTTAAATTGCATTTGCTATCAGCTAATTTTTGATAACAAATATATGCTTTATATTCATCCATTTTAACTCCAATTCCATTTCGATAGTAATAACCAAGCTTATCCATTCCATCAATATAGCCCATATCCACAGCTTTATTATAATAAATAAACGCCATGCTTTGATCTTGTTCGAGTCCAACTCCATATTGATAACAATAACCAACATTGTATGTTGCAATGTTATTTCCCATATCTGCAGCTTTTTTATAATAAGTAAATGCTTTATCTTCATCTTTTTCGATTCCAATTCCATAATGATAACAATAACCAACTTGAGACGTTCCATTAGGATAAAACATATCGGCAGATTTTTGATAATAAATGAATGCCTTACTTTCATCCTTTGCAACACCAATTTCATGATGATAACAATAACCAACATTATATGTTGCAACATTATTTCCCATATCAGCAGCTTTTTTATAATAATTGAAAGCATTTTCTTTATCTTCTTTAACACCAAGTCCATTTTGATAACAATAACCAACTTGAGACGTTCCACTAGCATTACCCATATCAGCAGACTTTAAATAATTAATGAATGCTTTACTTTCATCCTTTTTAACTCCGATTCCATGATGATAACAATAACCAATACCATATATTCCAATAGCGTGACCCATATTAGCTGATTTGTTAGAATAATATAATGATTTATCACTATCTTTTTTAACACCTATTCCATCTTTATAACAATAAGAAAGTTTATCTAATCCACAAGGATCATCCACTTCAGCTGACATTTGATAATAAATGAATGCTTTATATTTATCTTCATCAACACCGATTCCATATTCATATAATTCGCCAAGATCACACATTCCATAAGAATTTCCCATATCAGCAGACTTTTTATAATAAATGAACGATTTATGTTCATCCTTTTCAATCCATTTACCATAACGATAACAACGTGCAAGAATAGTTAAAAGTATAGAATTTGATTGATTATTTAAACATAAATTAATTAAATCCTTTGAATTTAATTGTTTACTTTCCAAATATTTTTCTATTGAATTAAAAAATTCAAAATCATAACTTCCTTTAAATACTTCTTTTTCATGTAATTCACATAATTCTTCAATTATTTTTTTATCATCATATAATTCAAATGATTCTTCAATTATTTTTTGATTTTCATATAATTCACATAATTCTTCGATTATTGTTTTATTTTCATTTGATTCGTATGATTCTTCAATTATTTTTTCATCAAATAAATCTTGAGTTTCATTAACATTTTGTAACATGTTTATTTGATGTAAAAGGGTTAAGAGTTTTGTTTCTGATAGTTTATGAATTTTTTGTCTTTTTATTGACCGTTTTTACAACTGGATTATTTTTAAATGGTTTATAAATATTTATTTAATATCATTAATGAAAAAGATAGAGAGTTATGTATGTATTTATAAATTTATTAAGTGATGTTAAAATTGTTCTTTTTAACGATAATTGGTATATTGTAAGTACGACGTACATACTTATTTATTTTTGAAACAAAAAGCTTATTATGTAATACCATATGTTGTACATAGAGTTCACAAGGTGGACCCCGCATTTCCCGCAGCATATACTTTATTTTTCGTTAGAATCTTCTTATTCATAATAAATAAAATATATGTTGTGGAAGCTGCGCCCAATGACAAACTCATACTTTGAGTGGATCAACTCAAAATCTGTATTTTATTTTTTTAACGATTCTCATATTTTAATAACTTTTATCTCCATACTAATCGCCAAGAAAGAACGAAGGCAAAGCCTCGTGATGTAATTAATAAACGAAACTTTATGAAATACGCCGTTTTTTATTAAAAAAATAATAATAGAGAAGTATGAAGAACCATGAATTAAATCAGTTATTGTCAGCTTCGCAACAATATTGTAACAGTAACAAAATTATTCTAACAATCAAATGAAGTTTTTTTAAATATTGTTGAAGGTTATTATTTGAAGAAAATTCGGATAAAAATGGTGGTACCTTATGAATAAAATACTCTTGCCATTTTATTATACCAAAATTAATCATAAAGAATCTAACTTTAAAATGAAACGAAACTTGCACTTAATCATCGTGAAGGTTCATTTATTTATTTTCGAACTTAATATCATATTATTCACAATATATATATAAAAGAGGGAAAAAAAGAGCAGTTTTAAACAACTTTGTACTTTATACAGTACAGTACGAGAATACTATATATAAACAATACTTTTATGGAATTTTATGTAAATATTGATTATATAACAATAAATCTCAGATTAAAATGAAACCAGTCAATGATTAAGAATTTTTCTAGCATCGACAATTACTAAAAGAAGAATCTTTGTCATCAACTTTAGTGATTTAAAAAATTACTTATTTACTATTGCTATGTGTAAGTTTCTTTTATCCTCGCACAGTACCATTATCATAGTTAAGATGAAAAGAACAGCGTTGCTAATTAAGGTCAATATCGACGTCGTAAGAAATTTGTGCCAGGTATTTGGGCTAGACTGATTGATATCATCCTGCATTAACCCTATTTTAAAGTTAGTGTTAAAAAAGGTTTAAGCTAGTATTAAAATAAGGTTTTAAATCAAGGCCTATGCCAAAATTTTGGGGAAAATTTTTTTTAATAGAGCACAAAAGTGGTTTCATATTTGAAGTTTTGGAGTAATGAAAGTTTTTTTTGTAATTTGCCAGTTATGATTGACAAAAGCTGGTATAGTTTCTCTTGTATCTGTAAGATAGTGAAAGAGATAATGTTAACTAAGATCCTAAATAACTTAATGATAAAACCAATATCAAGGTAGAACAAATTAGAATTTTGTAGATTTTAAAATATCGATAGAATGATATTTACAGTATAACTATGAACTAATGTAATGCGAGTATAAGAAAATTAAAGCATAGAAATAACTTTAGAATTTTAACTTTCTCGGAAATCACAGAATTGTTTTTGCCATAACTAGTCTACCTTATAAAAATCAGAATTTCAGCTGCCGAAAAAAATTTACTCAATTAAAAATAATTTAAGTAATTGAAAGTAATCTCGGTAGTCGGAATAATTTCTACATATAGGTATTTTGACGTAGCTTTCTGAAAATATAAATACAGCATGCCAATATACGTTAATTTAGTGCATATACTTATCATGCACCAATTCTTAAATAATGGTATCTAAATCAGCTAATCACATAAAGAATATCTTTCTGTCCTACCGTTGCCATTCGCTATACGTAGACTAAAAAATATGTATATATTGTAAGCGGAAACGGAATTTATGTGGACTCGAATTTTTATATACGTACTGTAAAACCAAATTTGGAGTTGATTTTATAATGTATATGTTGTGCAACGCAAATCAGATGACTACCAGATGACCAGCATTAAATGATCTGCAATAATTAGCCCTGTAAGTTTCACCCTAACCCCAATCCTAACTCAGGCCGGGCGTCACCTGACGCAAGGATGCATCTGAGGCACAACATATACACCCTAATTCTAACTCTAATTTAATTAAGAAATTCCATTTCCGCTTTGCATTAAATTTAACATTCTTAAATAATATTTGTAAAGTATACCAATATTGTTATTTAAAAAAATTTCAACCATTATTAAAATTTATTTGATAGGAAAATAAAAAGTTATAAAAAAGTAACAACTTATAAAAGAGAAATAAAGATAAATTTGTATCAACTAGATTTCAAAAGTATATAAAAAGTTGGCAAAAATATAACTATTATTTAAAAAAACCTTTAAATACTGATATAAATGGTACAGCAGTAAGAGCAATATCTTTCACTACGTCCAAAAATCCAGATTTTTTTTGGGTTTGATTATTGAGTTGGTCTTGCAAATTATTTATTCTTGACTGATTTTCTTCTCTGACTTTATTAAGCATTAGATCATTTTCATTTTTCAATTGATTAAATTTTTGCTGACTCTGTTGTTCTTGATTACGAAGGCAATCTTCCATGGTCTTTACTTTTTCTTCAAGTTGATTCTGAATTTTTTCATTTTCGGTCTTAATATTAGTTATTTCTGTTCGTAAATTTTCTTCTTCTTGTAAAATTTCATAATATTTTCGTTCAGCTTGTTGACGTGCTAGCATTTCAGTTGCATATTCTTCACGCAAAACATCATAAGTATTCAAAAGTTTAATTGCGTCTTCGTATTGTTTAGCTTTAAATTCATTTAGTACCTAAAGTATAATAAAATTATATTATTGCTCAAATTTTATAGCAATGTTAATAATAAATAAATATGTATATATTTACTTGTATAGCTTCCTGCCCTGACATTACTATAGTCCCATAAATTTGTTCAAACAATTCAATTGCTTCCTCAAATTTATTCATATCCTGCGTAAACAGGATTAGATCAAAATAAATAAATAAATAAAATAAAATAAAATAAAGAATAAGAAATTATTAATTACAAAAAGATTTTCTACTTCCAATCCAGGAGCGACATGCTCTTTCCAAAGTTGATGAGCCCATTCATCATGATATTCACTTAAAGCAGCAGAGTTTTTCATGTAAAATTGATCTTTTAAAGTGGTAATCTTATCATAAAATGTTTTTTGAAAAGACTGAATTTGATCAGCACTTCCAACAATTTGTTGAATAAAAGTTTTAAGCACAAGCTCAAAAGAGGTATTATGAACAATATCAAACTCATCCCAAGGAATCGGAAACCCGTTAATGTTCATTTTGTTCATCAATTCATTATAAATCTCAAGACAAGTTTCATATGCCTTTTGAGCAGCATAATTAATGGTAGCTTCGTACGCACTTGGAATCGACAACATAGTGTTTGTTGGATCATTTATTTGTGCAACACATTTCTCAAGAAACTCAGCGAAAGTCTCTCCTGACATTGTTGAAGCATTAAGATATTTTGGAGGCAAATCTTTAAAAATATTTGTTACAACTTCTTCAATCTTTGTAACAAAAATAGGGTCCAACTGATTGGTTTTAATTGTGTCCATGTTCCTCATCGCCTCTTGCCGAATTCCTGGATGCTATTTTAAGGAAGTCACTTAGTAAAGTTTTTTTTTAAAAAAAATTTAGAATATGAATATACATACTGGAACCGCATAAACTTGAAATTTTTTAAAAAACTTTGTAATGTCCTTCGCAGCTGATTATAACATAAAAATATATATTGCTTATCAAATTAAATTAGTTATAATATGATTATTGTCAAAAGATTTAAATTTACCATCATCATTAACTTTTGATAATCTGTCAAGAAAATATTCTACAAAATCAGGTGGACTATCTAATTGAAAATCTCGAAGAAGAACAACAAGGTTTGGCAAAAAATTGTATTCATTCGGAGGTTGAATCAAAGCTACAATTTTAGTCATTAAAAATAACTTTTCAATATCATCTCTTCCGATAATTCCATTAATATTATATATAAGCGTTGAAGATATAGCCAAACATAAAATGAAAAGTTTGTTTGCCCACGGAACTTCCTGATTAGGATCATCAATACCCTCACAATCAATAATGATCACACCTAATTTATCGTCATATATAGTAATGTGTATAATTTTAATGTTAATACGCAGTGATATGCCCTCTAAATGTCACATTGGCATACGTACGTACGTTTGTACGTATACATGATACAATACGACAGATAGAAACTTCCAAAGTAAAGGTATATACGGTAAACTTACGTTTTCCCTCATGGTAGAATGGAGTATCCCAAATATCTATACCTTTGGTGCATCCATTCACCGATGAACCAAGTTTAAATCCATCATGGCGTCCGAGAAGAGTGTTTGCAAAGTATGATTTTCCTCTTCGATAAGAACCAACTTCATATCGTTGTTTAAATTAACATTACGTTATAATAAAATCAATTCATAATGTTATAACCCACCAACAGTTATAACGGCGATAGGTTCTTCAATTTTTCTCAAAATTCTCAACGCTTTTTCATCTAACAGAATTGCACCTTCATCATCCAAACTCATATAATTTAAAAGGTGTATAGGATTTCCTGGGCGAAACGGAATCGTTTTAGAAAATGGATTCGCTGACATAGTTATTTTGGATTGTGAAAGAATTGTTTGAAATTTAACGTTAATACTTTTTAATCTAATTTTATAGTGTCGATTGATAAGATTTGATTTTGCCATAAATGTAAACAATGATGAATTAAATTGTCAATTAAGTTTTTAAGTTATTACGTAATATTTCTTTTTTGAGTCATATGTTCATATGCACAAGATTTTATCTAAACGTGTTCATTTATTATGACTGTCCTCATGATTCTGTAACAGCACAAATCTGTAATTATATCAGACAAAAAAGTTCCAATGTAAAATCTAGTTAACTTTATTTGTTGACCAAACGATTATCTGAATATCCTGATCCGGAATTTGAATAAAGTAGCCGTTCGACATAGTTGCGCTAAACGCACATCGTAAATGTGTACAAGGTTGGCGGTGAAGACTAAATTCTTAAAATTTGTTAAGGCTAGGGTTATGATCTAAAGTAGAATAGTTTATATAGTAAATTGTTCAACGAAAACTCTTTGTTAGAGCACAAAAGGTGGCTTCTTATGCAGATTTTTGAGTTATTAGCAATTTGTTGGTAGAACAAACGTTCTTTTACATTATACTTAATCTTAAAATCTGGTTCATAGTTCAGGAGATCTGCGCCACCAACCTTGTACACATTTATGATATGCAAATATTTATTGGTGTGAATAAATATTTTATCGGCGCAATTGATAATTTGTGAATCTCAAATGATAATGGTAAGACATTTTAGTATTTTGTACAGTTTTCTGAAAAAAAAAAAGAATTATTCATATAAGAGTCTTATCCATTGATAATTTTTTAATTATAGCTTATTGTGTGGATACCACATGATTCGGAAGCTTTTCTGTACGGCAAATAAAAACCATAAGCAATGTTTACAACTATGCGCACTATTTAACATGTTAATTTTTTTCGCACACCTGTTCGAAGAAAATGTATGCAACAATTTTTGTTCCTGTGTGTTGAGCACAGTCTGCACAGTAAAAAATAATTACTGGTTTCATACATATCAATATAAATGGTATATATGTTATACGTCAATTCACGGTTCCCGTTGATTTAAATTGGCATGCAATTTTTACTGATTGGAATATGACATACAGTATGTTAAATTTAACTATACAAATATCGATATAATGGGCCCTTCTATTGGGTAGAAAACGAAGATTAAAGTATATAATCAAATAATTTTAGATTTCGGTAATATATTTTTTTTATATTTAATGACTTCATATCGTTCGTTAGCTTTTCATTCATTGCACCTTAAACTGTCAAGACATAGTTAACAATAAGTAGTCTAAAAAAAAATGAGAGAATCGTTCTAAATATAATAACAGCAGTATACATGAAATCTAAAGTTAAATGTGAGATTCTTCATAAATTGCGATAATTAAGTTGAAAACATTGAGAAGATAAATATTATTAACAATGAAAATTAAAATGGTTGTACACAAATTTGTTCTCAAGCAAGTTATTCTCAAATTAAAAGCTTATCCCAAGCAGCTTTACATAGTCTTATAAAGTTGAAATTTAGATAACTGTATTCAGCGAATTATCAACGAATTGAAAAGAACTATTATTAAAGAATAAATCTAATCTATAAACAGTAATAAAAATTCTAAAATATTTTAATCAGTATTTCTGAAATAGTATAAAATACTGTAATTTTTAGAAACAGTATAGTAATAGTCTCAATATAGTATAACCTATTTTTTGATAACATAACCTGAAACAAACCTATTTACCAAATCTATACATCTTTTTTGATCTGAAAACTATCTGACTATTATACAAAGTCAAACTTCAGTTAGTAATAAACTCATCAATTAGAACATTTTAATGTATATATATAAGTATTTATTTAAATAAATAATAATACAAATTTAAGTAATTCTATAAAAATTGATATCTTAATAATCTGAATATTACTATATAGATATTTATAATCAAAATTATCATATAATAAAGCTTGAATATATTATATACTAGATTTAGCAATTAATAGATCTTTTAATTATATATAAATTCTTATATTACTATTATTATTATATTCATTTATTAAAGAACATATACCTGAAGTTATTAATATTCAGAATATATTTCAATAAATTAATTAAAAAATAAAGATCAGGTAGTTAAGTAAAAATACTTAGAACTTCTAAAAACCTTGTATAATTTAAAATTTAAACCACCATTATATTTAACCTTATTTTAATTTTAAACTGCACTCTAACTCTAAATTTTAATTAAAAAAACTAAAAAAATTATAAAATAGAAAAAGATTATTAATAATCCTAGTATAAACTATATTTTTTCTTTATTAAAAATATTTATTATAACTATTATTATAAACTGATGCAATGAATTAATGTCTCTTATATTATATCATTAATACATAAAATATGTTAAACTATAATTTTAGCTTATTCTTTAAGTATCTTTTTATTTACCTAACTCTTCTTTATTCTAATTTACTAAAATAAATTTAATGAACTTACTTGCTTCAAATAGAACTATTATAAGCATAGCAGTTTTTATAAAAAATACAATTAATTTTATAATATATTAGTATCTCTGTACTTAGTTTATTAAAATATATCTTTGTGAAATCTTAAATTTATTTATAAATTATATTAATCTTTTTTAACTTAATATTGGAGAATTATTTTTTAGTAACATTCTTTATTATATTCAGATTTAGATATAAATTAACTTATTTATAGATCAAAAATTGTCATTATCTATTAACAATAATAAAAGATTTTCTGATAATAATTTAACTAAACTATTAATAATAGTAAAATGCATCTTTGATGTTAAATAATATATAAATGCTTATACTATTAAGAAGAATTTGCAACAAGGCCTGGTTATGCAAATAAGAATATATATTTAATATTAGAACAAATATAATTTGTCAACATGCTAATACTGCAAGTAATAAAAGTACTAAATATTATGAAATACAAGAAATGTTGCTATAGTTTGTCCATTTAATATAACAGTTCATTAGGCCAAAAATGAAATAAATATCATATAAAGTTAGCAAATCTTGAACATAATCACTCTGTATTTTGCAATAGTTATGTTTGATCTAGTTATCAAAAATTAAGCAATAATAAGAAGACTCAAATTTAGGTGTTTCATATTAGTAGTGTATTGATACCTACAATTATCAATATGTTAACTAAAAAAAATATAGTTAATACATTCATAGTAAAGATATTTATAATGCTTTAAATTATCAAGCTTGTAATCGTTTTAAAGATTTATCGCAAGTTGCTAAACTATTAAATAATTTGCAAAATAAGAATAAATATATTATTATTTATTCTGTTAAAAATAACAGACTTCATAGTCTATTTTTCACTACTTTTGATTCATTAATGACATTCAACATATAAAACCAACCATTTTGAAATGGCCCAAATGGAACACCGTAATTGTGCCACTTGCCAGAAGTTGCAAATTTAGGCACCAAAGTCACATCTGACCAAGATTTGCCCTAAAGTTTGGTCCTTGTATAAGTTACCTAAAGTAGCAACTCTGGGCATGACAAGTACGTATGTATGTAAGCTTTTTAAACCAAAATACAAATAGCAAAAACATAAAATATTTTTTAGTTAAATTAATTAAATCTTTATTTAAGACTTAATTATTTTACTTTAAAAAACTTAAAATTTGATTATTTTATAGTCTAAAAAAATTCAGATACAAGGCATTCTATTACTATACTTAATTCAAATAAAAAGGATTATACAAAAAATAAGACTAAGCTATTAATATAATTAAAATGCTGATATTTGGTTTATTTTAGATCAAAATTAAAAGTCTAAAAAGAACTTTAAACTATCACTATGGATAACCCTGAATTCAAATCTTGATCAAAATTATGTAAATTTAAAACAGAATTGCTTGCAGAAACTTTCTTATTAATAATAGAGTTGAAATTCTAGGGTACGTGTCATTTCACCGACAATCAATTCGCCGACATCCCATTTCACCGACAATCAATTCACCGACAAGTTTATTTCACCGACAACTATTTCGCCGACAGCCCATTTCACCGACTAGGTTTTTTTAAAAGTTGCACTAACATTAACTCTAATTCCAACTGACCCTAACGAAAATGACCAGAATTACTTTGTCGGTGAAATGACTGTCGGTGAAATAACTGTCGGTGAAATAAACTTGTCGGTGATAGGCTGTCGTTGAAGTGATTGTCGGCGAAATGAGCACCACCCAAATTCTATTTATAATTTGTTTATATCAAATTCAATTGCTTTAGAATCATCATCTGTTTGATTATTGATTAGTTGTTGCATTATCATTATTTGAGTATCTAATACAATTAATTATTATAAACATGATTAATATTCATATCTAAACTACAAATATATATCATCTCAATACAATATGTTTCTCACCTGTAATTGCATTGCTATTTAATTTTATACTTTGTAAAATTAGTGCTTTACTAATTAATGGATTTAATGATCGACTAGAATATATTGCTTGCTCATTTACTTCAGTTGGTAAAAAACTTGTATCTATATTTTCTGGAAATTTTATTTCTCCTTTTTCTGCTTTTCTAAGAAACTCGCCAAGCTTATACTGTAACGAATCTGGATAAATCCTGTTCGAAACAAATCTTTTTTTGGGATCTGAATGCCAGCACAATTCCATTAATTCAACAAAATCTTGTGGAATGTTGGTTGGAATTTTTGGACGAAGATCATTAAGAATATCGAGAATAAGATATCCATCATGTTTACGATCGGAAAACGGTCTGCGGCCACTTATTACCTCCCAGATAATCATACCAAAACTATAAATATCCGAAGCCTTTGTAAACTTTCCTCCTTTTAGCACCTCTGGTGCAACATATGGAATACTCCATAGATTGAACTATCATCTAACGATTCATTTACAGGTTTGCTTATTCCTAAATCTGCAATCGTTGGTTCACTATTCTGGTTAATAAGAATATTACCACTATAATTCCATTTCGGTGTACTAACTTAAGTCCATTTGAAATACTTTGCAATAGTCTTAATTTTTCCAACCAAGACAAGAAATTTACACTTTTTTTTAAATAATAATGTAAGTCCCTATTCTGCGCATATTCTATAACTATTATATAATTTTTTGTTTGAGGATGTTGAGTAATGCCAAGATATCGATGAAGAGTATTATGAAATTCATACATATAATATACAGTATCATGTTTTTTACAATGAAAAAAGAGGTTCAACTAAAATGACAAATAAAATAATAAAGTTTTGAATTTAACATAAATATAATAACATAAATATAAATTATAGAAGTATATACCTCATTTAAATAATCGGAATCCATTTTTTCAGAATTATTAAGGACTTTAAGAACAACATCATAATTTCCTTTTCTATTGTATTTTTGTTTTTTAGGATTCCAACGAATAATGGGCCCATCAACCCATGTTGCTTTATATATTACACTAAATCCTCCTTTAGCAAGGTATTCGATGTTAGTAAATTGATCATATGAAATAAATTCTAATTTTAAATAATTTCTACCATTATGAAAGGTTTGTGTTGATTCGATAAAATTATCTAGTAACTTGTTTCCACTTAAGGCTCGTAATGAAGCCCGATAACAGTCTTTACACTGGTCAGAATTTTCGTCATAATGAACTTTTCTCAAATTACATTGCTTGCATATTGGATTTCTTTTGCGCCTAGAGACAAGTGAAACTGGTTGTTCATTTTCTTTGACTGAATTGGCATTAAATTGTTTTTGTAATGTGTTAATTTTTTCATCACATAGTTGAGCAATTTCTACATCATAATTGTTTAGCAAAGTTGTATTAGCTTGATCTTTTTGATTTATGCCTGTGGACAATTTCATAATCGAATTATCATAAATGTCCAGTGAACTGTCGTTAGCTTGATATTGTCGCATCTGAAGTAGCGATTTATCTAAAGTAGCCACTTTATATATCTAAAGTAGCACCCTGGCTAAAATTAAAATCTAATGCATGCATGAAGATCTAATTTCAGGGGCTTAATTTTAGCCAGGCGCTACTTCAAATAAGTCGCTACTTCAGATGCGACAATATCTTGTAAAATCAGCATTCCATTCCATAAATAGATTGTTATTAATAGGGCTCGTAAACCATTCTATATGTAGATTATCATTAGTTTGATCTTGACTAAGATCTGCAGAATGGATTCTTATAAATATTTGGTAAACTTATATTAGTTGGATCTTGAGCCAAGTCCATAGACCATTCTGGAGGTAAACTATTATTAGTTTGATCTTCGTAACCTTGAGCAAAATCTGCGAATCATTCTATGAATGGATAATCTTGAGTAAAGCCTATGGTCCTGTTAAAGTCACCTGTCCTTCAAATAGCTCGATAAATCACATGACCCGACCTTCGATCAACGCCCGGCAGTCGTACAAAACCGTATTGGATGCTAACGAATCTAATAGATTGAATCGATATTCACCCCCACTCCTATTTTCCTTATTCTATATATTATTATCTAGTAACTTTTCTATTTCTTCTTTTCTTTATATCGTTAACCAACATAGAATAAGTATTAACAAGTGAACAAAAGATTAGTCGTGCAGATCTATAGAAATAAACATGTATAAATAGCCCCGATATCGTATCATTGAATCGGTGTGCTCCCACTTGTGAAATATTTAAAAAAGAGTCATCGTGTCTTCATACACGAATAACTCAAAGATTTTATTAATAAACTGTTATATGTCTATGTGTATCTTCATATACATTTAGTCGTCTGCCTCTTTCGTAATTGCAAATCACTTTAAATCCTCTCGATCGTCAATACTAGTTATTGACATATATACTTATAGTAGAAGACGGTCGTAAGACATTCAATTATTATCGTCTTGCTTACTATCGTCTTACGTTAACCCGCACTTAAATCAGAGGTAGTCCGGGTATAACAGTACTCTAAACTGTATAAATAATGTAAAATTAAATTAATTAAATTGAATTTAATATCAAATCAGACAAACTTCTGTCTATGAGATGCGAAGAATCCTGATTCTTGTTTTTATTATTAACGCAGCCTGGCACAGTTCTTGCTCCCCGTTAGACTCGAACTGGGGACCTTCGATTGAGGACCTGGGAGCGCAACAACTTCGCTAACGATATCCATTTCTAATTTGTCTTAAATTAAAAAAAACTGAAGTTTTTTTAAATTCAGAGATTGTTTCAAGTGGTTGAGATATTTAAACCAGCCTGAGGAATATTATAATTAGAGTGGATTAGTGCTTCATGTTAACTTAGCCCTTGTAGATTCTTATAGCTTTTGCGTGAACATCAAGCACCGCAATATGAGAGGAATTAATAAATGAAATACGGGTATTGTTCTGTTTTTGAATTCTACACTAGTGCAAAGGTAACCCTTTGAGATTTTTAAATGTTTTGTTTGAACACAATGAACATAAATTTTTGACACAATTTGAGTTTCCATTTCGTTAACTGTTATGGAAAGTGTCTAGTTTTGTTGTATATGATACTTGGCTTTTCGGAACCTTTGGAGTAGTTTTCCCTGCACATACAAACAAAACATTGGTTTCGACGTTGGGAGATTGGTTTGACACCTTTACACATATTAACAAGAGATTGACGCTTAATTTACTATGCAACGATATGATTTTTGAAAGTCAGAAACCTTATTTTAAGGTGATTTGTAGATCTGATGATAAAATTTGTAAACAAATAATAGGTCAATCCGCTTTTGTTTTGTTAAACTAATTTTCATTTCACTTAATTTAGATAAATGGAACTTGTCGTTGTAATGGTTTTACTTACGTATTAATATCATATATCTAAATTACAAATACTCATAATTACAAGGATATTACTATATCGATATATTCATTAAAATTGTTTACTCTATTTGGCTGTACATATAAAAAAATAGAAATTATATACAGTGATCATTCTAAACTAATCAAAGCAAAATATTCTTGATATAATTCTTGGTATCTTTTTGTCATAGCAGGTTGTGAATAATGGTTATATTGTAAGAGACAATTTTCTTGTTAAGCCTTTAAATTAATAAAATATTATATAATCTTTTATTTAAAGATGCATTTAAATTCTTCTTTTGTGTTATCTCAATTAATATTTGCTAAAGAACTTATTTTTTATAAAAGGATCAAAATTCTGATATAATAATTCTTTAATAACTCAAATATGATTTAGAATTTTATTACAGCCTATGTTTACTCGAAATCAACCTAAGTAAATTCTAAATCTATAATAATTCTATTCCAACGTACAACATATATAGAAAACACTATTTAGTCCGTTATAGAGTTGACCGTATATCTACGTGTATAATTAAAGGAAAGTTATAAATCATTATGAATTAAAAACTTAACTCCGATGCTTTAACATTAATCGAATTGCTCAATTACATAACCGGCAGATCCATAAAAGGCTTCAAGTCTGAATCGGCAAAAATATGAAAAATATGAAAAATATAACACTCAAAAATAAGCACTGAACAATTCAATCTCTTTATTTTATATTTGAAAATCAGAAAATCAACTCCGATTGATTAGGCATATCATTAGTTATCGGTTGATCTTTGTAATACGTGTTGATTTTTCATTGCTGCATTGTGTAATATTGTCATCAATAAATAAGTAACCAATCGGAGTTTATCGGTATCCTGACTTAAATATGGTTTTAATTTTAAAGTTACGTAAAACACCTTATTTAGCCGAACAAAGGATCCTTCGTGTCTATATTTAGATTACATTCATGAATATCCTTTATTGATATTTAATTTTACTATCGCTATGCACAAAAAAAAAATTTTGCGTCACATGAATTATTTTTTCGGAATAAATACAAATCATTAATTCCGAATTTAAATTTAAATCTGATATATAAAAGCTTTTTGTTAATTTTTAAAATTATTGAATTTCTTTACAGTAAAGCGTTTTTTAATATTTTGATTTTTTTTTAATGAAAGATCATTAGTATAGCAATTCACACAAATATATCTTCAATATAATATCATAAAAATATTAAAAGATGTCTCAGGAAAGAATTCTTTTTTTGCAATCCGAATACGCAAGGCAATATGGTCAAGATTCTAAATTGATTAACTTGATAAAGAATATTATCAAGGTATCGATGAAATTTACATTCAATTGTTGAGATCTAATTGTTAATTAATTCTATTACAACAATTTTCATTTTTACTTATAAAATTATTTTGTAGGATTATCCTCATGAATCCGTATTTCGTAATTAATGATAAATTAATTTTTTTAACTGTTTAAACAATAAGTATATTACACAAATTAATTGACTTAATTGTTTTGTGAATAGGCGAGTTCTTACAAAATGCAGATGACGCAGGCGCTCAAACCTTTCGGTAACGGTTTTAGACATTTCTCTAGCATATAGTTAACATTTAGTTGACATTTATAATAATTCTCATTTTCAAAATAGTATCATCGTTGACGAACGCGCAACAAATCAACGTGAATCTTTAATATCCGAAGGAATGAAAGATTGGCAAGGTCCTGCGATCTGGATCTATAATGATGCAATGTTTAATGAGCATGATTTCAATGCTCTACTTAACATTCATGAAGGAGGAAAACGTTCTGATCCTACAAAGATTGGAAAATTTGGAATTGGGTTTAATTCATGTTTTCATTTTACTGATGTCCCTAGTTTTGTTAGTGGCAAATATATTCAGTTTTTAGATCCACATGAAAAGTATCTTGGTAAACAACGTGGTCTTCAAATTAATTTCCTCGAAAATGAAAACTTTAGACATTTATTTAAAGATCAATTGGCTCCATATATTGGGGTAGAAGGTTGCAGATTTGACAAAAAATTTAAAGGGACCCTGTTCAGATTACCTCTTCGTATTCGTCCAAGTGAAATTTGTGATGAAATCTTTAATACAACCAAAATTTTAAATTTTTTAGAAAAATTAAAATCTAGCGCAACTTCAGAATTACTCTTTTTCCGTAATATAGAATCTTTTGAAGTTATGCATATAACTGCTAATTCTTCTCCTAATCAAGTCATATCAAAGTGGAAAGTTAATTTGACCAATATTACTAGAAATATTCAAATTAAAAGACGTTATACAGATGACAACCCTATTTCATTTCGCTTAAATGTAGAATTTCGTGATGATACTAAAAGTGTTTCTAATTTATGGCAAGTGTGTATCGGTGGTCAAAAATCTGTAGAGTCCGAAGAATTAGTTAAATTTGCAGAACGTCATCGGATGTTACCACGAGGTGGTGTGGCCGCTTTATTACCATTAAGTAACGAGTCTGATAAAAATAGAGAAGATGGTCGGTTATACTGTTACCTACCTTTACCTCAAATAACTTACCTTCCTGTACATCTTAACGGTAATTGGGCATTATCATCAGATAGATCTACTGTTCTCTTGAACAATGATTCATTAGCAGATATGGACAAATCTAAATTGGCATGGAATCGTTACTTGTTATTACAAATTTTACCTCATCTTTATGTAAAACTTTTGGAAGAAATTGTAGATTTTGCAAATAGCAATAATGGCATAACTCATAAACAAATCGTAGAATATTTTTGGCCTTTACCAAAAAGCAAAGAAAAAAATCCTATTTATATTACAGAATTTGGACATGAAGTTCTTAAAAAACTTCCTACCGATAAACCTTTATTTTGGTCAGCTACTGGAAAAGGTTCTTATGTTTCTTTACGAGAAGGATTTTTTGAAAATGATAAATTTATTATAGAAATTCTTGCAGAATATAGTAAAGTGAAAAGTGTACAGTTACCACTCGATATGTTAAATGAATTGAAATTAGCAGGTGTTGAATTAGCTCCAGTTCCTGCAGGAATGGTTAGACAAAACCTTAAAGGCATAACTAATCTTTCAAGTAAATATAAATACGATCAGTTAATTAAATTATTAGTATTTATTTTAGAAGATGAAAATTATGAAGACTTGAATGATATTTATTTGATTCCATTATATAATAATAAATGGGGTAAATTTGATAAACAATCTGAACAAAAATATTATTTAGCAACTCGTGAACAACAAAATTTGGTACCACACGTAAATTTATCTAATTTTGTTTATGATAAATATTGTGAACATTCAAAATTAAAAACTATTTTTGAACATGAGAAATTTCATAATCAAACAAATGTAAGAAAATTTAATGCCACATCTCTTGCATACCTTCTAGCATTTGAACTTCAACCGGAACAAAAAATTACAAATTGGGATCCAGAATCAACAACAATTCCAAATAAAAAATGGTTGGATGAAATTTGGAAAATTATTTTAGAATCAAATACAAGTTTAGAATTATTTTCTCGATATCCACTTTTAGAGGTCGTACGTCCGACAAGAGAATTAATACTTTTAGATTTAAGACGTCCATTACTTGAATTACCACAAAGTGATATGTCACATTTTGAGAAATTGGTTACCATTCTTCAAAATTTGGGAATTAAATTTACTGATCGTTCTTGGAATGCAAAGTTAGGCGATTACATTCTTAAATGGACTCCAGAAACAGTTTTAAAATCATTTGGTGATTTAATAAAAAAAAATATGAGACCATTTACAAAATTGGCAAAGGATGAAATTAAAACTATAAGGAACTTTATTATTGAAAATTGGGATGATTTTTCCACAAATAATGGGACTAAAGGTAAATACTTTTGTACAATTAACGTTTAAAAATTTAACAATTATGATTTAACATATTTAACAATTATGATTTAACATATTTAACAATTATGATTTAACATACTGACATATATAATAATCTTTATGTTTTCAGTTAAATCTGAATTTCTTGAAGCTTTAAGTAAATTACCGGTTTGGCCCACAGCAAATGGTGAAAAATTCAAAAGTCCAAATGATGGATTACTCCCTCCGAAAAAAATTGAAATATTATCACCAAAATCAAAATGTCATGCTGACAAATTGTTCCTTAATGTAAAAAATGATGATTATCGAAAAATTCTTGAGGCATTAAATACTCCTTATGTAGATCTTGTTAATTATTTAAAAAGTCATTACACATTTCCAAAAGAATATGATGATAATTATTTTAATTTCATTAAAAGTGTTTTAACTTCAAGTAATTTTCATGAAATTGAAAGTTGGATCGATAGTAAACCTGTGATTCCAAATAGAACAAATAAGAAACTTAAAACTGCAAGGGATCTTTATGATCATAAAACTTATTTATTTAGAATAGCTTTTGAAGGAACTGATCGTTTTCTTCATGAAGAATTTCAAAATAATACAACTTATTTAGCCATTATGAAAAGAATGGGTTTTAAATATCAAGTTACTAGACAAACATTTCTTGAATGTGCAAGAGCTATTCAAAAACAATTTCAAGAAGATAAATATCATTCAGATGAATTAGTTTATCGTGCCACAACTGTTGTTCATTATTTATATGATAATATTGATGATTTGAATTATTCTGATGCTGAATACGAGGAATTAGCACGTATTTATTTCATTCCAGCAGAATCATCTATCGAAACTCCTTATTCTGCAAGTGCTGTAGCTGCTAAAAAATTTGAATGTCTTAATTCTTTATGCTTACCTAAATATAAAAATATAGGTAATTATTTTTTTATAAATCTAGATATAATTGTTTTTTTTTTACAATATTTATTAAAATTTTGAATTTATTTCATTTTTAACAATTTTCTCGTAAAGCTTTTACACAAGTTGCATTATTTCACAGTGCAGTAATTCCTAAACCAACATCACCAATATTAACAAAATATAAAAAATTTGGAATGCCAAGTGCTATTCAAATTTTAGAACATTTACGTGAAGTAGCATTTAAATTATTAAAATCTACTCAATGGAAATATGAGGAATACCTTTTTAAAAGAATGCTTGATGAAATTTATAACGCACTTAATGAAGAATGTGAAGATGAAGATGAAGAATCTGATTTTACTAAATCATTTATAGTAGGCGAAAAACTTTTTCTAAATATTTATCCAAATGAAAGTGCTTTTGATGAATCAAATTGGAAAGCAGCAAATGAATTAATTGTTGGTGTTAGTTTATCAGAAGAAGGATTTGTTAAACCCAGCTTGGCAAAATATAAAAAATTATTGGAAATTGCGGGATCTGGTACTTTAAGATCTGGTGAAGATTTTGATGATGATTCAGATCAAGATGATCAAGCTGAAAAAGTTAATCCACAAGGTGAAATACTTTTGAATGCACTTCAACAATCATTAAAAAATGGATTATCTGAACCTCTCAACGATGTAATATTTACTGTAAGGGATCAAAAGATTGCTGCAAATAGACTTGTACTTGCATGTGCAGCAGATCACTTTAAACACACTTTCTCGATTAAGTATAGAGATGGTAACCCATTAGAAAGTGTTACTATTCCTGGGTATGATATTGAACCTGATGCATTCAAAGTTTTATTGAACTATTTATATGGAATATCACTTGACACTGCCATTATGCCTACAAAAAATAAAAATGGAAATAAATATAACTATAAAAATATTGAAGAAGACTGGTCTCAAGAACAAGAAAATGAAAGGCAATATAAGATTTTGATGGATCTTTTAGAAGCATCTGATTATTATAATCTAATGAATTTGAAAAATGAAACAGAAAAGAAACTTTTTGAATACGTAAAGCTTTGTAATGTTGATGATGTTCTTGATCATGCAAGCAATTATAATGCTGATTCGTTAATCAAATATTGTAACAAATTTATTGAAAATAATGAATCTTTTTTATAATTTTTTAAATAGTCTATCTATTCTTGCGTAAATTTCTAATATTTCTTTATTAAATAAATTTTCTCTGTAAATAGAAAAAGAGAAATAAATTATTTTGAGAATTTTTGTTACAAATGTTACGTCTAGTTCCAAATATAATAAAGTTTATTTGCTTAATATGGTTTTATAATATATTTTCGGTATAATTAAATTTTAAGAGATCAGGATGATTTACTTTCTCTAAGAGCACTAGTGATGCAATTGTATTGAGGTAATTAATTACGACCGATTGTAGTAAAATTGAAATTATTTGATAGTATTAACGTTGGTAGTAATTATAGTATTATGTTGTCAGTTTTAATAGTATGTAGTATATCACACAGTAAATCATTAAACTGTACGTACATATGTACGCAGCTGATAGTAATAAATAACAAGGTTCGCGTTGTACAGGATGCAGTTGCAGTGAGTTAGCTATGTGAGAGAGAAATGAATTATGAGGGGTTGTACTTACAAAGGACTAGTGTAAGTCTCAGAATCATACACATAATCACTTGGAAAGTTTTTAGCAATGATTTTCATTTTGTATTTATGTTGTTAAAGAAACATAGTAGTTGTTAAACCAATAACATCAGCATCAAGAATAACAATTTATGACATTACTGTTTGTAATTTCTTAATTATTTTAGTATTTTTAATCAAACTTAAATGTCAAAAGATATGTTTTAAAATTTAATATTTACTTGCTATTTTACTTTATTATATTAACAAACCAAAAAAAGAAATCTAAAAATAAATATTTTTACAAAAGATATTGTCTATCATAATATCATTCCAATTATAAGATGAATACATAATATTACAAAGTCTTATTTATTGAACTGGAAATTAATTATTAAATACTTAGAATATAACAATTAAATGGTATCACTAAAATTATAATTATAATCTTTATTAGTATAAAAACATATTCAATATAATCTAATCAAATTATAATAACTGAAATCTGATACATAATCTGTTTAAGATATACTTATATATTTCTAATCATATTATTGAGTTTTTAAAAGACCTAGTACAAGAATATAAAGAACAAATGATTTCAAATATTATAAATAAATCAAATATAATATATGAAACTATATCTAAAAAAAATACAACAAAACTAAATCTGAAAAAATAATATATCTATCAAATGTATTCATTTTTTATTATATAAATAAATAATAATTATTGATTAAACAAAACCCAGATCTTAGTAATAATGAAGTTTCTAAAATCATAAGAAATATGTGGTACAATGAATCTCATGAACTAAATATGAATAGTATACATTAGCATTTAAGAAAAAAGCTGAGTATACACAAAAATATTCAGATTACAAATACCATCCTTGATATTTAGATGAGAAACAAAAATGAAATAAGAAAAATAAATGAGAAAATAAATTAGAAAGAATAAAATCCTGGAATCTAAAAAAGAAACACTTATTATTAAAAACTATAAACCAGTAATTATACCTGAAAATAAATAAGTTTTATAAAAAATAGACCAACCAGAATTAATAAAATACAATGATCAATTCAAAACTGGTTTTGATATAACTAATGATCAAATTATTAATGAATATTTATTTAATAATTCTTTAATAAAAGAAAACTTTATATATATTTCTTATTTTTTTATGTTTATATAATTTGATATGAATTAATATACATTTATACTTATACAAATACTATATAAACTAAGAATTATAATAAAAATATGACACAATAAGATTATAATAATAAAATTAATAAATAATAATTGTAACCAAGACAAATTAATATTATTAGTTTCAATATAAAAGACCTGAATCATAATAGTAAACTCAAAACAAAATAACTGAAACAACTAAAGATAAAATTATTATTAATATTTTTGTACAGTTTAATTTAAAAAAACAAAACTATATTAAATCTGAACAAATTACTGAACCCAAAATCAATAAAGAATGTGATAGAACTGAATATTTTTATTATAAATGTAATCTTGATATTAATATTGAAGCAAGAGGTAGAAAAGATCTTAGCAAGATATTTAACTTGGGCTTAATAAATATTGACAGAGAATTTACTAAAAAAATAAATAAAAAATATATCTAAGAATCTATTAACTACTATAAACAAGAAGAAATTAAGACTAATCTTAGTAAACAAAAAAATATTTATTTACAAATAAGAGAATAAAACAAACTAAGTTTATTATATAAAACATGAAGTTATTAAAAATAAAATAGAAGTATACTATGTTATAATTGAAGAAAATAGTACTAGTAATGGAGTAGTTAAATGTATTGAAAAGATATATTTAAATTTTAGAATTAATTCTTTATTCGATAAAGTTTTTGGATATTGTATTACTGAATATAATGGTTATGAAGAAGATTGTTTATTATAATTAAAAACAAATAAAAACTTTAATTTTAATAAAATAATAAATTAATTTTAGCATATAAAGCATGTAATTACAAGTAGCTACTTTAGTGGATAGTTATTGCAGCTAGCCTCTAGATGAAGTAGGAAGGAACCTGTGATAAGAACTCTTGATCTTGCTCTATTGAATTGAGAAAATTAGCAATAATTCTATATTTAATAAAACAATAAATATAATCCTATTAATAACTATATAATAAATAAATAAGTAAATAAATATATAATCAAATTCTTTATTTAAATGCAGTCTATATTGTAATTTTAATTAAAAAATATCATTAGTATCAGATTCAAATAGTGATCTTTTAAGTGAAAATTATATATTAGACTCTCTTATAAATTTTAAATCACAAAAAAAATTAAAAAACAATTAAACAACAAATAATTATTATTTCTAGTGATGAAAAAGAGTTATTAAGTATTGATATACTTCTTACAAATATTTCTAAAATAAAAAAAATAATATTAATTTTAAAAAATATTTAGATAAATTAAAACTAATGATGATGATTATATTTTTTCTTATAAAAACAAAAAGTATCAAATCAAAAAGTATAAGATACAAAAAAAATTTAAAAAGATTCAAAAAATGATTTAAAACTAAAAAATTTTTAAATCTGATAAATGAATTAGTTAAAAACTTTAAAGAGAATATTTTTTATAAAGAGTTTCAAAAAATGAAAAGAGCAGAATGAAAAAATCTTTTATTTGTATATAATAGGTTTTATTATTTCTTTTTTAAATATTATAGATATTAAGGATATAAGATAATTTTTGAACATATTTTAGATTATTATGTCAACTCTATAGAATATAATTGAGACAAATATGATTTGATAAATAAAGTCTTTATTTCTGAAATAGGTATATTTCTAATTATAGAGGATTTCAAAATTAATTATAATTTAGCTAATAAGATAAAAATTAATAATACTTAATATAGTTTTTAAAATTTTTATAATATAAAAGTTTTTTTTTTTGGCAATCCTTTCTGCAGATCACTTATACCAAATTTTTGCTAAAAACATTTAATTATTTCTAAATATTTTACTAAGTTAATCTTATTTATACCATTAAGTAAAGTTGTTCAGCACAATTTTCTGCTCCTAGGCATTCATGTTTTAAGTTTTAACAAATTCTGGCCATTAATAAAATTTACAAAAATCAATATTTGGTTTTTGTTTATTTGCTCAAATGTTTACTAATTAAATATACTCTGTTCATTATTAGTAATTTATTCAGCCTACTAAGATGGACATTTTAATATATATTTTGTTTTAAAAAAATAAAAACTCATCAAGTTATCTTCAAAAAGACAAAACCTAAAACCTGTTTTTACAGGTTTTTTCATTAGTAATTTTAGGAAAATTTGCAGTGGTGTCCCAGAAAATTTATTTTTCTGATACTCATTAAAATTTTCTAAACATCCAATCATCTTTTCCAAATATTTACATCTTTCAGATTCTTTCTAACTAGTCTAGAAAATACAAAACAGAAAAAAATTTTTCTAGAAAACCTATTTTAACTATTTTTGTATAACAAAAATTAAGTATTATTACTAGCTATACAAGTTATATAGATTACAATACTTACAATAGTTATAGCTATATCTCTAAGAAATATATACTATTCTTATAGTAATATAACTACTTATTAAATTCTAAACAAACAAGAATTTAGAAAAGCTTTCTTTATGATAAATTTGATCCAATTACAAAATACTAACTCTCTCAAGCTCTAAACCTGACTCTGTCAATCTTGACTATTTTTATAAAAACTTTTCTAAAAGTTTTGATATCAGAGTTTATGAAGAAACTCTATTATTTTCTTATCCAATTTCTATTAGCAGACAACCAAACAACTGCTTTAATATTGAACTTAGAGGCAACACCAAATGTTGTCATTATTTTAAAGTTCCCAAAACTAGTAGTGTAGTTACTTGCATCTGTGGCAAGTTTTACACTAACTTTGTCTCACAAAAAAACTTAATATATGAACAAACCCAATTTGGACAAGCTACTAAAAAATCCAAAGAGAAAAAACTAATTGCAACTAATATTGCTAAGTCTACTGAATTTATTCTACCATCTCCAACCACTTTACCTTTACTATCTACATACCAACATATTTGCATTACTTGCAACCAACCTATTACTTGCAAAATAACCAACAACAGGCATTATTTAGCTGCTGATGCTTTGTTATATAATGACAAACCTTATCACAAATCCTGTATTAAAAATTAAATTAATTCATAACAAGGCTTTTCCAAAAACTCTCAACAAAGTCCTTCCAAAAACACTCAGCAAAATCTTTTTAAAAGTCATATTTTATTTGCAGATAAACTTTGACAAACACTTATTCAACAAAAACCTCAAAACCTATTTACCTCTTAACTCAATCCCTTAAGACTGCTAGAAAATAATAAAACAATGAAGATAAAGATATGGATATTGATAATACAACTACTACAAATAATAAGTAATAGCAACAACAGTCACAACAAAAACAATAACAAAAACAGCAAACAACTCAACAAGATGTACC